CTCAGGAACTTCCTCTCTGCAGGCTTTCTCTGCTCTCAGCTCCTGGGTTCTGCTCTCCTCAGCCTCTTGGGTTCTGCTCTGCACATGGCCACCTATTTCCTCCTCCCCTCAGCACTCACGCTTGAAATGTTCTTGGATTCTTTGACTCACTAAATCCAAGCTAGAGAAAGTGCTTAAGAAAAATCATTCCGGACACTGTGGGCCACACTCCTGGGCCAGGTGCTTTGGAAATGAGTAGAGTGGAGTGATGGGAGAGGAAGAGAAGCTGAGCAGTTTATGTGCTATGAAAAGAGGTGGAGCTGGAGACTTGGAGGCAGTTCCTATTCTTATTCCTTGGGAAATGGTGAATCACACTCTCCAACAGTAGAGCCAGTAACAACGCAAGTGCCAGTGGCCTGTGCCTTCTTCCTTTGAGAATATGACCACTGTGTGAGTCGCTGTGACTCCCAGAGCTGCCTGTTAGCCCAGGAAGAAGAGCAGCACCTGCAGAGTGGAGACCCACGCTTGCCTCACCATGTTCTCCGTGTTTACTTCTCATCATTGATCTCTCTCTCTAGTTGGTTGTGGTGGCGGTTCAGCCATGAGACTAGACAACTCTGCGTTGAGTTACAGTTTTTCTGTGCTGTGTTTAACTTTGACCAGGGATTTATTTCCTTTCGAGTCTTAGGGTTGAACAAATATTTAACCATCTACCTTTCAAAAGGTAATCATCTACCTTTCAGTGATACCATATCACTGCTGACATGGTATGTATGGGTGCCACTATGATGAGCAAGTATGTTGTGGAGAGCTGGGAAAGAAAGACAAGCAGAATGGTTTGTGCACTATGAAGAAAGGCAGAACTGGAGACACGAGGGTGGTGAGGAACAGCCTTATGTGAGTAACCTGCACTGCCACCTGAGGCCATAACGAAGTCCTGGCCTATGCTGATGCTGAGGACCACGTCTAGGTCTGTGGTCCTTTAGCAGCAAGGGTTTGCTATGTCAATGTCTGCAGCCCACATTACCACCAAAGGCCATGTTAATGTTGAGGGCTGAGTAGAGCTGGCCCTGACTGCTCACCTGGGCAGTGTGGGAGAACTGGCCCCACCCCTCACTGGCTACAGCACTAGGGAGAGTGAGCCCCACACCTATCCTGGAAAGCACAGCAGAGCTGGTCTGGTGGGGTGGTGGCGCTGGTGAGTTAGCCCCAAGGGCATGAGAGCAAGGGAGCCAGTCTAGGAGAGCTGGCCCTGTGCCTCACTTGGGCAATGTAGAAGAGCTGGCCCTGGTGGTATGGGTGCAGGAGGGATGGCAGGCAGACCAACTCAGCTACCACCCACGCCCAGACCCAGTACACCGGGTAGACGTGTACCCCAGCATCTACCCGATCTATGAACTGCTGGAGCTTATGATGAAGCCAGCCCTGCAGAGCCAAAGCTACAGGATCTCTATGACACAGAGCAAAAACAGGATATCTGAGAGGAGGATATGAGGATCCAGTATTGAAAGTATAGCAGAAACCAGAGGCCTTGACTCATTGTAATGAACATTTGCAAGCAGTGTGGCCGGTAAAAGGATATACTGTATGGCACACTGTAGCTTCATGGCAAGATTTTTTTGTTTTGTTTTGCTTTCTTCACGGAGGGGGCATTACAAGGGCAGATATGGAGGAATGGGGAGAGGAGTACGATTGAGGTATATGATGTGAAATTCACAAAGATTCAATAAAGTTTTAAAATATTCTAATAGAAAAAACTAAAAAAAAAAAAAAAAAAAAAAAAAAGGAAAAAACATTATTCAAACTACACATGAAGACTTAGAAAAAGGTGTTCCCATAAGTGTGGCTTAAAGGTGGGGAATGCCAACAACAGTCAGTAAAGACAGCTTAAGGATATTGAGTGGGCCTTGGACCTGGTTTCAGATCGTAGGAACTAGAGAGCAATCTGTCAGTGGGCTTATATATTTGTTTTCTGGGAGCCTCCCTGGTAACTATGGTCCACAGCCAGGCTGTTATCAACGACATTTGATAAAGAGATTTTATATGATGTGAAAAGTGTTTACTTATACTAAAAAGCCAAAACAGACTAGTAAGTGGGATGCTAGATTGCTTTGTCAAGGATAGCTCAACTGCCTGAAAGAAGAAAACTAAACAAAACAAAAATAAAACTTCAAACAAAATGATCCAAAAGCAAATCAAAGACAAGATAGGGCAGAAGCTGACACACCACTTTAACTCATCTTCTTCAAAATTGGGTTTAGAAAATATATTTGTCTATCTATTTATTTATTTTTCTTCACAATTTATATATTCCAACTATATATCATTATATATCCCAATTGAAGTCCCTCCTTCAACTCCCCCAGTCTCACACTCCCTCCGTTTTTTCCCCTCTATCCTCTTCTCCTAGTCTACTAAAAGCGGGGGGGAGGTCCTCCACTATTCCAGGCTGCTTCTTATTTCTACTTCTGCTTCTTTAAACATTTTAACCAAGAGCAGATGCTGTTTATTTTATTTTCTACTGTCAGTACAATGGCTAGAACTCAGGGCCTTGTATATACCATGCAGGCTCTCTGCCACTGAGCTATATCCCCAGTCTAACTGGTACAATCTCTCTCTCTCTCATTATGAGTATGTGTGAATGTGTCTATGTGCTTGAATACTGTTGCTCACAGAGGCCAGAAGAAGGTATCACCTCTTCTGGTGCAAGAATTACAGGCGGTTATGTGAATAATGTGGGTACTGGGAACTGAACTCAGGTCTTCTGCAGGGACAGTATGCACTCTTAACTGTTGAGTCATATTCTCAGCCTTAATTGGTGTGATTTTATGAGTAGACAAACAACTGAAAGATGTACAATTCTGGGGAAGCATTCCTATGCCACAGCACCATCTGCCCCACACCTCAGATCATCACCATTCTCCCAACCTTATAGCCACTTTCCATGCTCACATGTGCTTTGATGCCATTTTAAACAATCTTGCATGAGAAATTGTGCTATCCCATTTTTTCTTTTTTTCTTTTTTTTTTTTTTTAGATGAGGAGAAGCTGGTGGAATTAAATTTATGGTTTAAAAACCACTTAGGTAACACAGTGACCACTGTTGGTGCAATTCTTAATTGGGAAACTTCAGGCTTTGTGGCTTCCCCCTCTGTTACAGACAAAAGGTGCCCCTGCACAGATGAATGAGAGTGGCAGTGAAACAGTTCTGCTATGTCTTATAGATTCCAAGATGAAAACTTCCCCCCACTGAAATATGGATGTGTCTTATAACTGATGTCCAGATCTCTTCTATGTAACACCTACAGCAAAGGTTTATCTACAACAAAGATGTCTCTGAGGACCAAATAACAACTTAGATTCAAGGAAATGTGCTGTATCTATATCCAAGCCTGTTACTGGTTCCAGATAATTCTTTAATGGTGATAGAGCATGGATCACATGAGGTTACAGAGATACATAAGCCATCTCATGAGTACCTACTGTGAACATTAGTGCCAATTCATTTCCACTACTAATCCCACTAGTATGAATACCATGGCATCAGGCTTTCTCCTTTCTTACCAAAGGCACTACCATCCTTTCAGTCCCCCAAGCTCGGGAACCACTTTGGTATTATATGCCATTTGTCGGCTGTTATTACATCTATTATTAGGTCAAGTAATTTTTCCCACTGTCTTAACTCTGAACCCTGTCATGAGCTGTATCATATCTCCACATAGAACCTTATGTTCTTTCAAAGTAAAGCACTCACTCCTAGATCAGCATCCAAACCTCTGCTGAATCTAGCTCAGCTCCATCTCCATAACCAGACAACAAACCTTGGCATGCTCAACAGCTCATATTTGTGAAACGGTAAGGTGCTTCTGTTCTGTTCTTTTCAAGCCTTACTCATCAGGTCTCACCTTTCCTAAGACACACTTCAGGGCTCTTTGATGCCAACAGCAAGCAGAAGGAAGAAGCAAGGAGGTGTATCCATTTTTGCAAGTGAAGAAAGTAAAGTTTAACCACACAGGGTGACTTGTTCAAGTTTTATACAGCTAAGCACAGAGCCAGGTTTCTGCTCTTTAACCCAGAGCCTGTCAGAATCAGTTGCAACCAGCAACTCCTCTTCTGGAGGTTCAGGTGTCGAGCTCAGATCTAGTAATATACACCTGCAGCCAATAAACTCTGGAGTCTAGACATGCATGTGACATCTTTAAGACAAGTACCAGGGTGGAAATGTGTCCAGCTTTCTGGGTCCCCCAAGCCTAGGGAAGGACTGGGCCAGCTCTCCCATTTTCCTTTTAGAGAGGGGTGAGGACAATACTTTCCTTGAATTATATCAACTCTTGAAACCTTACTGGTTTGTCTGGGCCCAAGATCATGTTAGAGTTGGAGCCAGCTTCTCTCTAGATTAGCAGGACATGGGAACCTATTTTAAGCTGATAGACATTAGAGGACCCAGAAAGGATGAAACTAGAGAAAGACTGTTGACTTAGATCAGTATGACCACAGTTCGTCTCTCACATGCAGTCTGCCTGGGTTACACATACATTATGTTCACCCAGGAGGCAAAGGTAGGCTGGGTAGAGGGACATCCATGGGAAGTTTCAAATGGAAACAGCATGAAATGGTGGAACCACCTTTGGTTTCAGGAAAGACTCGACCTCTTTGTACCCATTCAACAACATCAGCTCACAGGACAGGCAAGGGAAGTGAATGGTTAATCAGGAGTTGGCAGGTAGAAAGGCTAGGCACGCAGGTAACAATATTGTTCAGCCTTCACTGTGTTGCAGTTATTTAAAACATGACTATATATAGGGAACCACTGAAAAGTGAATCCCTTGGATGAGGGGTTGAAAGACAAGGGGCAGTGAGGCATAGGGTAAAATCATGAGCCCACATGCACACACACACACACACACACACACACACACACACAACCTCCTCTAGGTGAGCCAAGGATTTCTCATATCTAGAGGTGGCCTCCTGATCCCTTACCAAACATGGATACTGTCACATGCAAAGAGGCTACTTACTGGTTCAATCTTTAGAGCATTCCGGTAGCTGCCAAAGAAAGCAGCCTGTGCCTTGAGGAAGGCTCTAGCTACCCCATCACCAGTGGTTGTGGAGACCTTCTTCAACCTGTTCTTCAGGGAGGAGATCTGGTGACACAAAAAAGAAGACAATGTGAGAGCAGGTCATAGAGGGGCAGATGGCTGAACCTGGCACCCAGAAAGCCTTAGACAATTCCAGGAGGGGGTCAGTTTGATGGGGGAAAAGGTATCCTCAGCATTAAGAACTGCTGTGGTATATTTCACACATGCACTTTGGTGGTGTAAGTTTAAGGTTGTACAACAATAAAAATCATCTAATTCTAAAATATTTTCACCACCTCCAGAAGAAACCTCATGTTCCCACCCTAGTCTTAGACAACCATTCACGTACCCCACCCATCCTGCACAAGTCATGTACATGGAACCACAGGACCAGTAGGTAGTCCTCACATGATCAGATTCTCTCATGGATCACAATGCTCAGTTTACTATATTGTAATACATTTGAAGTCTTCATTCCTTTCTGTGGTTGAACAATGTTCTACTGCATACCACACCTTCTTTATCAGTTTCTGCTTTGGGGATGATGAATACTGGTGACTATTATGAGGTTTCATGGCATAGAGAAAGCAAAGGTTTGGAAGCAAGAGACTGAATGGCAAAAGTTGCTTGTGTAGTGAAGATCAGCTGAAAGGACCTATAACTGAGTACAGGGGACACTTCTGTGAAGTTGTTAGAGGGGGTGAGTCATTTATCTAGATTACATCAAGGTCAGAAGGGACAGGAATAAGCATTCAGGGCTCAGCCATTCTACCCCTATAAATTGAGGGGGGACAGAATACATTGTTTGTCTGAAAGCAGTTGAATATCTATCATATCGTATGTGTGTGTAGTGTGTGTGTTTGTGTGTGTGTGTGCTGTGCGCAACCATGCAGTCCTCTGCTGTGCTTCCCTTTCTAGGACCATAGACTCAAAGGCCACAGTACTGTGGGGGCCCTGAGGAGTCTTGGTCATGCCCCTTGGTCCCCAGGCAGGTTCTGCCATGGATTTTCAACTTGGGCTAGAAGTATGAAAAAATATGCTTTACTAAGATATTTAAAAAAAAAAAAATACACACACACACACACACACACACACACACATATATTACCTATTCCCAACCCCCCAAATAAAAACCCTGTTCCTCTTGAGGACTAGGGTGACATTTCCATCCTTTGAAATGGTGCCTGCCACTGTCGCTCTTCTTCTGGCTCCTCAAAGGCCTTGGGCCACCTGTGCTGCGGATTATTCCTCACTTAACCTTCCCTGGCCTTTCCCTTTCATTCAGGAGGTGTTTAATTACCTTGGATTCACAAGCTGCACTTCAGGTGAGCCTCTCCTAATGGCCTCATTACCATCTTACACAAAGAAGGAGTCGCTGATGGTAACTGAGCAAACAGAAGAGAGCTCCTTCCTGTCTGCCCCTGCTGGCTGAAGCTAGCCAAGTGGTCCCAGGTTCCTGACACCCCGTGAGCACCTAGGCCAAGACTTCTGAAGACCTCGCTCATCCCGCACCATGGAGAAGCCTTTGTCTTGACCCGCCAGCACTTCAAACTTTGAAACTGCAAGTCTATGTGTATCTAATGGCTCAGAATTGCATTCTGTCTCTTAAATAAAAGCAAAGGAAGAAAATGGAAGGCTTAAATAACCTGCCATCATACATCTAAAGCTGAACTTGCCCTGAGTGTTCCTGGGGTGCTGGTCATATCACTACATAGGGGTTTGTCAGGGGTAATTTGGGGTGGTAGAAGAGTTAGTGACGACGGCTTCCTCCTTTAATCAGTTGTCACAGGAGGAAGAAAAAAAAAAAAAAAAAAAAAAAAAAGAGGGAAGAGGGTACCAGACTGCATGCAACAGTTCCTCTCTATAGCAGCCCTCTTCCTCTTCGATCCACCTTGGTTAGGCACTGTGGCACCATCAAGGCAACTCCTGGGCCATAGGCCGGACTATATACCTCCCCATCCTTGCTCACAGATACTCTGATCTCATCAGCACCATCCCCAACCTGCCCTCACCTTTCAGTGCACATGACCTTGCTCTGTTGCAGCTCAATTCATTATCTAGGTGGGCTGTCTGCTTTTACCTTCTTCTCAGTGCCATCTACCCATCACTATACTAGTAATCTTGTAAATAATCAAAACACACCCACTTTAATCCTGGGCCAAATCCTCTGGCATCTGGGCCCTCCCCATTACCACCTTTGGGAATAGTTGGGCTACTTAGACCAGGCTGGGAAGAACAGTGTATGTAGCATGAATCATTTAATAACTCATGTAAATATATATGTGTGCAATAAAAGCCAGAAGTGTCAAGCACCAACTGCTGACTATGTAAGGGTGCTTTTACTCTGTTTTATAAAATTGATTGTTTTGATTATCTTTATAAAAACACATGTTATTTTCATAACAAAGAAGTAGAGTGCGATATTTTTCTTTAATGGTGAAATTAGCCACTGCCTTGGGGTAAGGGAAAGAGGGAATCCAGATGTTCCTCCATCTGTAAAGCCTCTTTGACCACTAGGCTAGGCCTGTGGACCATGAAGATAGTTCTGCCATGAGCTGTGGTCTACCATCTCTCTTGCTAGCCTCAGAGCCTCCTGTGCATCACTCCCTATAGAATGAAAGAACAAGGGAGTAAGCACAGAGGCATAGCGTAGAGACTGGCTGAGGGAGGGCACTGCCAACTGGCCTTCTACCTACTGCCACTGACCGCTGTCTCTGTGTTCCCTTCCATGCTTTCAGTATGTAGATGCTTGTTTACCTGGCTGCTGAGCTAAATCTCACTCAGTCCTGTTCTCCCACCACACCCTCTGCTCCAACGCAGGTCCTTTCCTGCTGAGATCAGCTCCTAACTTTGAAGAATGTGGTCCTAGCTCAACATTCTTCTAAGCAAAGCTGCCTTTCCCAAGCTTACTCAGGCTTAGTGGTCAAGAGACAAAGATGGTATCACCCACCATGGGCTGGGCCTTCTCCCTACTGGATCTCATGGAGGAAGTTCCTCAACTGAGACTACTTCCTCTTTGATGACTCTAACTTGTGTCAAGTTGACACACAAAACCAGCCAGTACATATATATTGTAAGGATTTGAGTACAATGACTATGAACTGGAAATGGATGCAGTAGGCTACCTGGATTTGTTTTGTTATCAGTCCAAACGTTATCTTCCAACAGGACTACTGCAACTGTCTTTGAGCTGGTGTTTTTTTTCTCTGTTTTCTCCCAGGGTGTATCATGACACTCTCCCTCTGTAATTTTAAGGGCTTCCTATGGCTAATATAGTAAGCTGTCTACAGCTTTTAGCAAAGCCTCATTTCCAGCTTTGACTTCTATTTGATTTGTGAGGCCTCAAATCCCATTACTAATATTCATAATTGAAAACTATAACAAAATCCTCAATAATACTTTTTTAGAGTCTTATAAACTTTTGTGAGGCCCCTTATCAAACCCTATACATCATGCTCAGGGCTCACAAGCCTCTTCTTTGTTGATAATCAATGCTGACGATGTGCTGGGAGTTATACATGAATGAATGAGGCAGAGCTCCTGGGACCTTTTAATCCAATTTTTGGCAACCAGTAGAAATGAGCTCACTACTGGTTAAAAAGGGGGTTGTTCCACACCTTATATCATTTAGCTTTTCTTTTCTTTTCTTTTCTTTTTTTCTTTTGGAAAGTATCTATGTATCCCTGGCTTTCCTGGAACTAACCATGTAGACCAGGCAGGCCTTGAACTCACAGAGATCTGTCCCTGCTCCCCAACAACCCCATCCCAATGCAGGGATTAAAGGCATGTGCTATCACACCCAACTTCCTTTAGCTCTTTATGTAACAGCAGATTATGTATCTTTATCCATGAAGGAGGAGGATAACCCTTGCAACACATACCAGCACTCAACAACATGTATATCTTCTTACTTGGTTACAAGTTGTGTCTTGGGGGCAGGAGAGTTATGATGGCATACTATGAAATGTCATATCCAAGATACCCTTAACCACATTTTGCCACCAGTACTCACACCTTAAGGTGTTTCAGCCATTTTGATATTGCTCTGAGGACACAGTCCTAGCAAGGCTTGGACATGTGTCATTCAGGTGAGGTTCCTCCACGTCCATGGTTACTCCCTGAGCTCTAATCCCCCTGCTTCTCTCCCACCCCAGGACTTTTGCATAAGCTATTTCTTATTTGGAATGTTCTTACCTATCACTACTCTCTTAACTTACAATTTGGAAAATTTAAAATGAGTTTTATACAATGATGGGAATGATCTGTCTCTTGCCCAATGCTATTCAAAAGCAGATTGCTCAGAGCACTTGAAATGTGGCTGGTATGACTGAGAAACTGGAGACTGTATTTTACTTTATTCAATTTGAATGTAAATGGCTACATGTGGACAGCAGATACCATATTGGATGACACAGAGGACTGTGCAAATGCTACATCCTCAGTCTGTTACCTCAGACTGGACCAAGGTTCTTCTGCTACATATCACCATACCTTCTTTCCACCACCACACAACAATGAATAATGATTAATTAGACAACAGCCAATTCAGGCCTATATTTTCTAATAGATTGGCCAGTTTAGGAAGGTAGGATCAAGCCTACCTAAAGGATAGGCACAGCACCTGGTTAGAAGGGACACCCTCCCCCCCAACAAGCAAATTGATTGCTTTCTTTTCTTGAATAAATTAGACATTAGGCTTTGTTCCAAAATCCTTGGGGCATGGCTGGGTCTAAAGGGCACAGTGACTTGTTTTCTCTTCTGCAGAGATGGAAACAACACTAGCTCAGTTTGTCCTCTTCCCACTAGCAGAAAAAAAAAAAGCCCTAGTTAGTCTACTTATTTATTGGTGAGTGCACTTACTGACTGAAGTCAGAGATCAATGCTGGGTGCCTTTCTTTATCATTCTGTACCCCCTATATACATGACGGTGTCTTCATCGATCATTTTCTATCTTATTCCTTGAAGCAAGGGTTTGGAAAGTCTTGTTAGCTAGCTTGCTTCAGGGATGCCATCTCTACTACCTGCATCCTGAGATTACACTTGGGCCACCAAGCTCTCCTGGATTT